ACGGGAACAAATAATCTCTGCGTTTTGGTTTAATGGGGTAGTAGAGAGGAGTGATGGGAGGGAACCAAGCTGCAGATGAGCGGACAAGGTTATTCCACAAACGTGGCACAGCAAGGCAGAGAGACTTTTTTTACCAAACAAAGTTTAAGCAAATGGAATTTTTGGTCAGTATAAGCAGGCACTTTTGAGGCTACAAGAGGGAGCTGGAGGAACTAAGTGGTATTTTAGGTAATTTGCTGTGGCTTTGTTTAAGAGGACAGTAAGGTGAAGACAGCCCAGTGCTGGTATCTCTAGATATACCTAAAATAAACTATAAACAAAACATTTTTGATTTAAAACGTTCGTGACTGCAGAGATTCATCTTATTGGTTCTTTCGGTAAAGTCATGTAGAAGGGAAATAATAAAATAATAAAAATAAACCTATTAAATAAAATTCTCACGTCGTTTCGGCCACAACACAAGTAGCCGTCCTCAGGTGAAAAAACAGAAAGACAGCGCTCCAATGAACACTGCTAAGCTTGGCAGCGTATTTTAGGCTGGGTGGGAGGAGCAGAGCACCTTGACAAAGGAGTTTACATACGTATCAACGGAAGAATTTAACATTGAAGTAGCTCCTAATCTTAGCTCTTTCGGTAAAGTAACGTTGAAGGAAAACAATAAAATATATATAAAACAATAAAAATTCTCACGACGTTTCGACCATAACACAAACGGTTGTCATCAGGTGTGTCGGTTTGCATAAATTTACTTATTTTTAAACGGTGTATTTATTTATTTATAAAAAAACGTCAGCGCCACGCGCAGCGATTTGGCAGTTTATTTAGAAGGACTAGTCCATCTATGTTCTGAAAAGAGGAGGGGGGAGACAAAAAATTGATGTATGCTGTCTGAAAGCCACTGTAAGCGTGAACAATCAATTAAGACCTGAAATGGTTTATCAAATCTTTCCAATGATTGCTAAGCCAGAATCCATCTTCTCGGTTGAAATTGTTTCTGTGCTTGTATATGTGGATAGCCTCATGAACGAATATCTCATGGTAGCCAGATGGCTTACATACATTTTTCGTCTCCCCCCTCCTCTTTTCAGAACATAGATGGACTAGTCCTTCTAAATAAACTGCTAATACGCTGCGCTGAATTTTTTAAATAAATAAATAAATGCGCCGTTTATAAATAAATACATTTATGCAAACCGACACACCTGATGACGACCGTTTGTGTTATGGTCGAAACGTCGTGAGAATTTTTATTGTTTTATATACATTTTATTATTTTATTGTTTCCCTTCAACGTGACTTTACCGAAAGAGCTAAGAATATGAATTACTGCAGTCACGAAAGCTTTAAATCAACATTGAAGTAGCTGTTAATGTGAGAGATTAGCAGTATGTTAAAGTCAGAAATTATCATGTAACTGGGGAGATTAGCATGATGTTAATGTGAGGAATTAGCATGTAACTGGTCACAGAAGTGGCTATGTTAAAGTCAGTTTACATATCAACAGAGGTTCTCTGCAAGCCATCCGTCTACCATGAGAGATTCGTTCATGAGGCTATCCACATATACAAACACAGAGACAATTTCAACCGAGAAGATGGATTTTGGCTCAGTAATCATTGGAAAGACGTGATAAACCATTTCGGTTCTTGATTGTGTTTTAAGGTGACTTTGAGACCGCAGTCCATTCACTGGCATTGCCTCTTAGTACCTTTAACGTGACGGTCAATGGTATTGTTTATAGCATATTGTATAATAATAAATAGTATAACAGTGTAATGTTTAATATCATTTATAAGGTAACAGTTTCGTAATTGTATAGTGAATATACAGCAGTGTGGTATACAATAGGGTTGATAGAATAATACATAGTGTAATATTACAAGTCTAATATTATTATAGTCTAAAGTATAGGGTAGTGTATAGTAATGCAGTGTATAATTCAATGTTGGGGTCTGTCTATGGCAGTTTATGAGATGTATGAACAAAGATTAGTTGGAGGCATATTATAATAATTCTGCGACATAGACGTGTAATGTATAATGACTTATTGTTCGTAGCTCAGCTTATTGGAGAGTATATTTAGTATATTGATGATATTGATGTAGTTTATATTTTAATTTTGCATCGGTTCACTATATGGTAGTCATTATATGGTGTAGTGTATACCCAGTTACTTAATGTTAATAGCTCAACTTATTGGAGAATATATTGAGTACAATGATTATATTGATGTAGTTTATATTTAGTTCTTTCACATCGGTTTATTGTATGATAGTTGGGTAGTTGCAGTTCTTTAGCGTTAATATAATAAATGCCTCTGTTGATATGTAAACTCTGACTTTTACATAGCCACTTCCGTGACCAGTTACATGCTAATTCCTCACATTAACATCATGCTAATCTCCCAGTTACATGCTAATTTCTGACTTTAACATCCTGCTAATCTCTCACATTAACACAGCTACTTCAATGCTAAATTATTCTGTTGATATGTAAACTCCTTTGTCAAGGCGCTCTGCTACTCCCACCCAGCTTAAAATACGCTGCCAAGCTTAGCAGTGTTCATTGGAGCGCTGTCTTTCCGACAGTTCTGTTTCTTCATCTGATGACGGCTACTTGTGTTGTGGCCGAAACGTCGTGAGAATTTTATTATGTTTGATTTTTATTATTTTATTAGTTCCCTTCTACGTGACTTTACCGAAAGAACCAAGAAGATATAAACTAAACAATTTTAATTTCACCAGGTAAGGCCCACTGAGCTGTTTATTGCAGCCGAATACCTTGAACGCACGTTTCTAAATGTGGACAGAAAAACCGGAGTACCTGGAGAAAGATCCACATGACCAAAGGGAGAACATACAAACTCCAAATATACAGGTGTCAGCGTCAGGATAAATATTTGGCATGTTTAAAAAGGAATGAAATCGTTTTTTCAAATGTTTCAGTTTAACACGTAGGCTTTCGCGACCAAAATTATCCATAATAGACGTTTTTGAGTTCGCGTAAATATAAATGTTTGACTGTTGGCTGATGATGCTAGTTGTAATTACTGGCGAAACGTCGTACTCGAATTTTAAATGTTGTGGGTTTACTCTCCAACACACCGGTGTGCTGTATTAGTAACGAATGGGCATATTTTGTTTACGTGACAAACCTTACTAATTGGCTGTGTTCGAGTGGTGTAGGGTTTAATGACGCATAGGTATTTACACGATCTGTTTAAATTTTTTATGGCACAGATGTGACTGTGCTAGGTGGATGAAATAAACTTCTACTTTTGGATGACTCTTTTTTTATCGATCTATGACCTAATAGGCATACATAATGAAAGAGACACATGTCAACTTCTGTATCCATTCTATAATATAACTCATCATTTAACATGCCTTGACGTTTTTATTATTGTAAATAAGCATGCATCATGGCTCATTTGTGTGATGGAGACCTCCGATATAAAAAAATAATAATAAAGAAAGTAATTTCCATTATGGACGTGGCATTTGCTTGGCAGTCACACTTTGCACGCTCATGCAACTGGGAACGGAGCCAAGATGCAGTTGCCAGATCTACTCAGGCAGGAAACCAATTAAAACCTCTCCCATTGCAAAGTGAATCCATGAATCAATTAAGGCTTTTGAGTTATTTGGTTAGTTGTATGAGTTTACTCTGGGGTAAAATTGTCAATATAAACAAGCTTAGTTTACAGTGCATAATTTACAGGTATAAAAAATGTAACAATGGTAGAAAATGCAGTGCTACACTTGTAGTTATGAAGCATATTAATATGATGAAAATGCAACACTCAGTTGAGAGTCCTTGCAGGCAATGTATTTGTGTTTTTATGTGGCTGTCGTTCCGTAGGAATATGACTACGTGATCAAACACAAGTTCAAATTATTTACATAAAAAATAAGCATGCAGCAAAGGTCATGTCTGTTGGTAATCCTTAACGAGTTGTTGATATTCCACATTTCCATGGCAGGGATGGTCTAAAAAAAATCGCTATTTGCTTCCACAGGGAATCCTAGCATAGACTAAGGAGTGGAACAACATTTTTCAGCCCTTCTCAGAAAAAAAAAGTTTGGTCCAGAGAACTGCCCTGAGACCCCAGTATTCACTGCAGTGGCGAGATATTAACTACCTCGCCTGGTACAGAGGAGGTCGTGGGTTCGATCCTACACTTGACGCATGCATATTTGGAGTTTGGATGTTGTCCCCCTGGTCGTGTGAATTTTTCTCTGGGTCCTCCGGTTTTCAGAAACATGCATTTAGAATACTTGGCTGCCACTATAAATTCCCAGATGATAAGACACTTCGTTGATTCATCATTTGTGGCCAGGTCGCTTCTGAAAAAGAGCTGTATAGCTCAGTGGGCCTTTCCTGGTAAAATACATGTTTAGTTTAGTTCCCAATCAAAAACATGGGTGATTTGGCCAATACAACCAACACATTAATTGGGCCTAATATATATTTAAGAATACAGGGCATACATTTTGATTTAAAGCTTTCGTGACTGCAGTAATTCATATTCTTAGCTCTTTCGGTAAAGTCACGTTGAAGGGAAAACAATAAAATAATAAAAAATATAACTGTTTTATATATATATTTTATTATTTTGTTTTCCCTTCAACGTGACTTTACTGAAAGAGCTAAGAATATGAATACAGGGCATGTAAATAGTGAATAATCGAGCACGAATGGCCTTTCCATGTGCACAGTGCTGCTGTCTTAGCATACCTGCAGGCACTAGCATATGCGCCATGGCTCCCACAGACATATATTGTAAAATAGCTGGGCAACTGACTAAACGGGATCATCTGTGTAACAAATCAAATGCAGTCACATAAAAAAATCGTAATTTTCAGATTGTGGTAACAGCCAGTTCCCTCCATGTCATTAACAATGATACAAAACATAGTGCACAATTCACAGGGCTCTAAATACGAAACTTTACAGTTCTTCAATGAAATGCAATACAAAGTAAGTGGGGTTCAACTTACAAGGGGCAGTGGTCCAGTCCTTTGTTTTTGCCCTTGCCTTTCTTCACATACTTCTTCACAGCATGAGATGCGTGCAGAAGCCCAAAGACCAGCACTGCCCAGATTAGTGCTCTCAGCACCGCCATCCTCTAGTGGACATCTAACGCACGGGATCATCCAGACAGGCTCAGGACTTCCTGCAAGAAAGAAAAAAAAGCATTCAAATGCCATTGTGAAGGTGCCATCCTTCATTGCTATTTCGCAGTTCAGGCAAACACTAAGGCCCCCCACACACGTTCAGCAAACTCCCTGGGTCAACTCCGCTAATGCAAAAGTGGCACCTTCTCTGGTGTCCCTGGATTATGGAAACGCCATTCCCAAGCCATCTGTGTTGTTGACTTACTGTTCATGCCCAGTCTCAAGAATTGCCTCATCACTTCAGCCTATGACTAACTATTTTGTATCCAATGTGTATATATGTCGCCGTGTACACGATGCACACATTACACTGTTTCTGTGCAACATCTTGAGACACATCTGTACGCAGACGCTATACAAATCCAAATTGCATTGTAATGCTTGACCCAGGATGACAAAGGGGAGTGATTGTTGGCCAGATTGTCGACCAGTCACACTGGAAACTTTGCTCCAATGACAACTTAAATAATACAGTGAATCAAGAGTAACATCAAGCAACGGCGAAAAGGCTTCTGAGTTCTTCCCGCACATCTGAAAGTGCGCAATAACCCAGACGTTTATATCTTGACTTAAAGCATTCGTGACTGCAGGAATTAATATTATTGGGTCTTTCGGTAAAGTCGCGGAGATAGGTTCAAAGAAAATAGCAAAAAACTACAACGTTTCGATTGCAACACAAGCGGTCGTCTTCAGGAAAAGGGGGGTTAGCTTCCAAGGCAAACTGTTTATAAAGGTTTGAAATGGGCATAACCCAAATGTCAGCAGCCAATGATAATGAAAGTGGTGATCAGCCAAACCGACGGTGGTTGGTTTTCCACCAATCAAAGGGCTGCCAGGTGAAAATTAGCATGTTAAAGAGATATTAGCATGTTAATGGAAAATCACAGCGCCGCAACCTAGGGGTCGGCGCACGAAGTGACTGTGAAAGTGCAAGTTTTCATGGGTACAAACTGAGCAATCATTTGGAAGGACGTTATTAACCAGTTGAAGTCATAATTGGCGATGATGTTCCCATCCTACCACCATCCGATGTTAGTTGTGCTTTACGCCCATTTCAAACTTGCGCTTTCACAGTCATTTCGACCCCTTGGTTGCGGCTCTGCGATCTTTGATTGGTGGAAAACCAACCACCGTCGGGTTGGCTGTTCACAACTTACATTATCATTGGTTGCTGACATTTGGGTTACGCCCATTTCAAACCCTTATGAACAGTTTGCCTTAGAAGCTAACCCCCCTTTTCCTAAAGACGACTGCTTATGTTGCGATTGAACGTCGTAGTTTTTTCTTATTTTTTGTTATTTTCTTTGAACTTATCTACGTGACTTTACCGAAAGACCCAAGAATAAGTAACCCAGACGTGCCACGGTTGTCTTCAATTGGCCCATTAAACTAAATTAAACTTTTATTTTCTATTTCACCAGATAAGGCCCACTGAGTATGCATTGATATTTGTTTCAGAAGCGACATGGCCACACATTATAGCTCAACGAAGTGGCTTATCACGTATAAATATATCGCAGCCAATTCCGCTAAATGCACGTTTATGAATATGGAGGGGAAAACTTGAGCACCCGGAGAAAAATCCATGCGACCATGGGGAGAACATGCAAACTCTAAATATACAGCAAGCATTATGGTCAGGATCGAACCCTTCATACTAGGCGAGGTGGTTAACATCTTGCCACCGTAGCGCCCATTGACAAGGCCATGCTGAGCCACACTTTATCTTCATTAAATATAGGTACACGGGCACTATACGGAGGAACTGCAGGGCAACGACATGTCGGTGTTATACGGCTAAATTACATCGCAGTGACAGAGCAATAACCATTAGACATGCGTGGTGAACCGCAGAGTGACTGAGCAATGCCAAGGCTATGCTCTTGCAATTGTTCTCTTCTTGCCCTATGACAGTTTATCTATTGCTATATGACCTGTGTTGGGCTGAAACAAAAAAATGAGGCTCATAAAAACGTGGAAGCATGTGAGAACCCCTTTGAGATTGACAATATTGCTGCGAGCGAATACCTGATTACGGTAAGGACAGTTGATATTCGATTTGATTTTGGCGAGGCCACTTTGTAGATTCATTCCAAAAATGATCGTCATTAACCCTCCACCACAAGAATTTTCTCATTGGTTGTTGGTTAGATTACTGATGCACAGTGGCTCTGCATTTATTCATGCTGTCATTAGTTACTGTTGCCACACTGTATGTAGTTCCGAAAACCCTTCTTTAACATGTATTTAACGCCACTGAATTGTTGCACTATACGTATATTAAACACTCAATTACTGGTTGCTGACTCAGCACTGAGGCGACTGTTTGTGAGCTACGGTGCGTTCAGTCATCAGCGTCATCGGGCGACTGTTTCATCTAGATGAATTGAAAAATATGTGTAATAATTAAAACTGTGAATTTTGTCTACAATATTTGTGAGTGTCTATAAACCATATCTAAGGATGTTGGGGCTTCCCAGATAACCCTTGCAACCCACAGTAGCTGCCCCCCTGCAGCAAGCGCACGCATACCTCAAGGTTATTCTCGATGGCAAACTTATTTCTTTAGAACGGCTTTTTGTGTTTAGTTTGTTGTCCTTACCAACGCACCTCCGATTTTCACAGTTGGCTATACGTATGGCGCGAAAGAAATTCAGACATACATACGTACGTACATCCAGACCAGGAATCAGGTTAACATTCCCATTGCAAACTTAGATGCATTCCAACGTGGGAAGAAAAACACATCTAAATTATGCTGTCAACAAAGTGTGCTATTTTTTACCTTAAATACTCCCTAATACAGATGGTAAAAAGGTACACCATTGGGGTGTAGGTGATTGGAGCATACGTTTCACTGCATGCACACTGGGTACAACACGGTAAGAGTTATGACATGTAGCAGAGCAACGTGGTCAGCAAAGCATTAAATCTGCGCATGTTAACCTTTTCAGAGACTCAAATGCAGAACAAATGTTTCTGAAAGATAACGTGATGAAAACTAGCACTGAGAACAGCAGGCGCAAAATACATCGTAATGCCCAACAGATTATCGACTGGACGTTTGCAATGTCTTTTGTTGTTGATTACACAGATAACTGTAATGCTGAGAGCATCATACGACAATAACTATATTTACAACTGTGTGAATTTATCTCGCTGCAATGAAGTTTTTCACCAAAATAAAAAATTTCAGCAAAAGTTGTTGTTTGCTGTCAATATTCAACACGTAATTCAGGATCAAGATTGGGGCTCAAGCGGTTAACGTACCGATCACCCACTCATGATTAATGATTACAGAAGTATAATTAAACCTGAGTAAGATGCTATATTTCTGCAACGAGGGACACTTCCAAACCAAGCCTGTCTGGCTCTATAAGCTCAAAACCAAATCAAACTCTGTATTTATTTTGATCATCCCACCATCAGTGTTATCGTCACTCCACCAAATAAGAACTATGACTTCGGTTTGACTGCTGTTCCTGCTCAGTATAGAATTACGACCATATTCCCCGAAGTTTACTTTACCTTCCGGAAGACGTGTTTTAATCTTCCACGCTACATCTCTCCCCAATTTAAAGCAGTGCGTTCACAATTATCTTTTGGAAGATGGATCTCCACTGTACGTGTATCGTTGTTGAAACAACGGTGCACTTTAAATATGCATATCTCTGCCTCTTTCCACTCAGCAATATATAAATGGGTACACCGTAGTGAGACAATCGGCACGTGATGGGGTAACGTGTGGATACTCCTTTCTCATCCAAGATGTTTGGCCAGTGTGGAATAGTCGGCTAATAAACCCTCGAGAGAGGCTCTCTACAGCTCTTAGTGAAGGCCCTTCACCAGTGGCGGCATGAGCAACACCTTCAGGCTATACCACCATCTCTTCTTATCTTCCATCCAATATTGGAAGCCACTGGAGCTATGCACTTTTTCACCTTGATTGAAAACCAATTTTTTTAGAACGGCTTTTTGTGTTTAGTTTGTTGTCCTTCCCAGCCCACCTCCGATTATCACGGTTGGCTACGTACGGTGCGAAATAAGTTATATATCCATACATCTCTGTGCCATCTGCTCCAGTAAAAAAGAAAAAAATATCTCGATGTTCACAACCACCAGTCCAGCTCTGCTTTACAGCTGGTTGCACCTTCTCCTCTGCTGCATCGAGGGTCTGATAGGCTTGTTGTCAATGTTGCTGACACTCCAAACTTTCCTCCTTTCCCTCACATACCATGGATTACCTGCCCATCTAATCAATGCCTTCTCTGTCATTCTTACTGCAGCGATGCCCTCAGGCTCATCTTTGTCACATACCTTCAGACCCTCTTGAACCATCCTTTCACCATCTGTTATTTCCACAGTACGTGTCCTCCCACTGCTGTCCATTGATTTATAGATCGCCTTTATTTAAATCAGGAGCCTATTGAGACTAGAAGTCTATTTTTCATGGGACGTCTGGTTCTATCACAAGATAATCGAATGCAAAAGCAGATTCATGAGTGTAAAATAACAGCAACAATAATAATGCCAATTACAGAACATATGTAGGTTTTATTTTACGTTGTTAAATATAACCACATTGGTAAATAAACATTTGAATGAAGGCCTACCCTACTGTGCCATCCACTGGGTTTTTTTGTTGTTGTAACTATACTTCACCACATTGGTGAATGTGAATGTGAGTTGATTCCAATATCACTCACCACTGTCGTTAGCCATGGCCGGAAATCAAACCCAGATCGCCGGGTTCGTATTGCATTGTGCTAACTTACTGCGCCACAAAATCTACTCATTTATCACACTTCTTGTTATGCATAGAAGCGAGTAAAATTATAAACCGATGGGACCAATTCCTACGCTAGAAAAGTGGCGTGCGCGTGTGTGTTTTCAATGCCCATGGAGAGTGATAGTATACAGTAGCAGTTAGCGCACTGCGTTACGAACCCGGCAACCCAAGTTGAATTCACACACACGGCCACCACCAGTGCCGATTTTC